AAAGCTCGGGAACTGATTTACTTACGGTTGTGATGATAGGTCACTATTAGATATTCCCCCTGTTAGGGTAACAAGTCGTATGTAAATCACTTCGTATATGGGCCTCAGATAGGTGCGAGCTATATATCGAACGCGTCCGTTAGGGCATAAATTGGTCCTGTCGGACCTTACTCGTAATCGTATGGGCACTTTCATGAGTCACAGCTTCGTGTTGACAGGTGACAGACTGCCCTCTCTGTTCACTGTTATGGATCTTGAGTTATCTATTGCGGTCACTGATCTCTCGCATCATTATTGATTCTTTTTAGTAATTTTAATTGCTATTTAAATATTTATTATATGCTATATTTGAAAATTTGCATTAAAGTGTTTACAAAGTAATGGTAATATGTTTCAACAAAAGAAACTGATGTAGAGAATTGTGTCGTAAAAACAGAGCGTTGTCGACTGGTTCGACTTGATGCCCGATTAAACATTGTAAACATCCCACTACTTTATTACCGAACATTTATGGTCGATAAATATGAACGTTTGTTTGTGCGTTCATTATACAGTGTGATTTATACACTTTGGAGTTCCAGCGTGGTTGTTGGTTGGCCGAACCGGTTGCGATGTGTCAATAGGCGGCGACATTTCGAGTTTTACGGTTTACTAATTCGCCGAAAGCAATTCTGGTTCGAATGAGTTTCGATTTAGATGGCGTTACCGCATTAACACCGATTATTATTATTTGATTTAGCGCGGTGTCTAATGGAGACCACCTAAGACGCGGTTAGTACTCGAACGCGTCCATCATTGTTTCCTCGACGGCGACTTGTCCTAAATCAATACTCCTAGGTCAGGTGCGTCCTACACAAATACGACTAAAAGCTGCCCGGTGTCCACCGTGAGAGATGTTACCTGTTCCGGTGCCCACTTACTATTGATTTATAGTAATTATGTATTATCGTGAAACGTAACGCATCTGTCCCGAGGCAATATGTCACTGTCAGTTCGTCAGAGCTCTAGCCATTTGTTTGGGCATTTTCATTCCTAGACCGTGACAATACATATTTGCTTACGTGACCGGCCTACATCAATTACTTCAACCCTGAAAGCTCAAGAATGGCATTGTCATTAGTTAAAACTATACTTATATATTTTCATGTGGGCATGCTATTTTGTCTTGAATATAATATCTCTTCCGTCATAGATAACATACATAAACAAACATAAAGTAAAGTGCTAGAGAAATATCATACATGATATGGTAAATTCAATAAGAAACATTTAACAAATTACTGCAATATTATTATTAGAAATAGAACTGAGATATGTTGTACATTAAAAATTATTTTTTCTAATGATGCTCTCGGTAGATTGTCAATAACAGTCTTGTAATAACAAACTTGTTTACACAAGAACCACTCATAACGCGTGGTTCAAAGGCCTCGATTCACGTACCGGTTCAGGTTCGTCTCCGGCGTTGAGTGACTTTAACTTGACGTTCAAACACTTGAAAAGAGGAGTAGATGCCAAGTCATTCGATCATTTACAGGCGCTGTACGGAAGCGAACGCACCTCGGGCCCGTCTCGCTCCGTCAATCATCACCAATCACGATAGATTGTGCTAATCTCCATCGTTTGGGTTCGAACGCCCACATGGCTCTTGCGTCCCTGTTAGTTGCCTCGTCAACGCTCGAGAATGATGGAGATGCTAAGCTGTCCAGATTAATAACCGGACGATTAATGAATTACAACGGCCGTTTTCATCGGAAATAGAAGTGGTTTCCGTGAAATGAACGGCGGCGAAAGAATGATGGCGAGCTTTTTTTTTGGGTAAAACGAAATAAACATAATAGTAACATGATGGAAATAAGTGGTCTTTGTTTTTCGATTGTTTCGAACAAGCGAACAACGCCCCTTGTCGCTGTTTTAGCTTCGCGGTCACCTGTCCGCACTGGAACAAGCGATTCAAGCGTCACTCAGCCACAATGAGACCCGTCAGTCATACATCGTCTTGTGCTCTGCAATCAGAGCCGTCTCCATCCATCCGTCGACCGTCTCGACCCCTCTTTTGTTCATCACGTCTCCTTATTACCGGCTCCGCTGTTGTCGACCTACTCGACTTTTATAAAACTAAATTATTTCTCCACTCCCGACTGACTTTTGACTGACGTATGTGATTTACTCGCAAAGTTTGAAACCGTGCCCCTCCTTTTCCTCGTATATTCCATTCGAGCCACGCTCAGTTTCTTTTGTGCGTTCGCCGATTTTGCAACGACCGATTCACGTAAGTACTCGTTTTACGGGCCGTTGTTTTCCAAGAAGGACTAGCGAAATATCGTATTTTGGCCATTCGATTGCTCGTAAATCCACGTTGGGCAACGTAAAATCTTAATAAATTTCGGGCCTCTCCTTCCTACCGTAAAAATATCTCTTCTCGAAAATGTTTACGGTTTCCCATCTCGTTCACGATAAATCTCTAATAGCGTTAAATATATCCGTTTGCCAGTCGGTTAACACGGTATTTCTATGTCGTCAAATGGTTATGATCAATATTATTTGATAATTTGGTAATTTACGTGTTGTTTATATGAAAAATAACTTTCTTAAAGAATTTTTTACGCGTTTAAGAATTTTGTTTGAGATTTACTGAAATTTTCTTGGCAAAAGTCAACCTCGCACCTTTTTACTATTCCTTGCACCACACTCTCCATTGATTCACGTCCCTCCACCACTGTATTAGTTTTAATTGCGGTCAATTTTCGTCCGACGAGTTGGTATGCACCGCGCACGGCGTTGATTATAGGGGGCGCTGAGGTAGGTCCGGTGGGAACCGAGCCTTTCTCGGGCCGTTGCGGAAACGGCTTCCTGAGGCGGAGGTGAGAAATCTTATTTCGCCGCCGCAGCGGTAATCGAACCCAGACACGTCTAATGAACTTCGCCGGGCGCTCATCAACAGAAACTGACCGTTTGTTCAGGGGGCTGATTCGGACCCGGATTAATGCACCTATATCCCAGGACCGACGCCGGCGATAAATTGGCGTCTTTTATTACTTTGCTCGGAATTACTTTTCTTATTATCCAGCGCGAACATACAACGTCTCCCTCTTCCTAAGAATTGTCCCAAAGGAGAAAGTATCAAATTGTGATCTCATATCTAGAGGATATGATTTTAGCAGTTGTAATGAGTATTTTGTATTATCGTATTTACAATATTGTATATGTAGCGGGTGGAAGTTTTAGTCTGATCGTCATAAATTAATAAAATGAATTTCAAACCCGCATGATACCGCTTCGAAATACAAATATATTAATGATCAGAACGATTGCCAACCGTTTGGACACAGATAGTGCAGATCAAAATTACCGATAGATTTGTACGCCCGTTATCTTTTCAATGAGCTCGGCCCCGTGACGCATGTTGAATAATTTCACAATTATTCAATATTTCGGTATTAATTGAAATTACTCGCATCACGAGTACGCCGACTGCACACCGCAAATTGGACGGTTAATTAATGTATTCTAACCTTTATGGCGTTTTTCTCACCCGGTTGTTTATTTTTTCTTCAACATTTTCGTAACGTTAGATGATATTCGCATAAATTGGGCCGTGAGGTACAGGTTCCATACAGATGCCAGGCGAGCCAAACAGCGGTTGAGACAGACACGACAAGAAATATATGTTCAAATGAAAGACAATGGCCTATAAATCAGGGTGGTGGGGGCAATAATATACGGACGCATAAGCATCGGACCGGCCCCAACTGCATCGGATTCAGCTTCCTCACTCGGATATCCAAGCTTCCTCTTCTCCCTGCATGGAACGTGCATGTGACCGTAGCTCCGTGGTCCAACATGTGTACGAACTTATTACGGGGAATGCGCTTCGGGCCAATTAACTAAATTGTTGTGCAGGATAAGCATTAAATATAGTCGAGAGCTAGATGCAGTAACGACCTTATCGGCCAGTCCCATCGATTGGATTTGAATTTAAATTTGTGGCTGCAATTTCAGGAACCACCTGTCTTGTTTCGTACAGGTCACTTTACTTTTGTTTTAGTTTTCCTATTGTCGTTATTCTCAATATTGTTCAACCTATCTATTTTAATCTTTAATTACGTACAATCGCTTTATATGAGAGTATATCGATCACAAAATTACTACTGTATGTTTAATAACTTATTTCCTAGTAAATTGTCAATTATGGCATGTTATATTTCATTAGGTTTGTGTATTGGATTGTTGATATCATTGACATGGGACTCCAGTACAAATGTCGCTCACCGATTTAGCTCTAGAATACGTTAAGCACACGCCCGTGATCGGGGAGGGCATAATTGTTGTCAATGCGAGTGCAGAAAGGAAGCAACAGGATTCGATTAGAGGCCTGGAAAAGGCGGAGTAAAGTCGTCCTCTGACCAATGATTTCGCCGGCCGGCTTAACATGTGGATACAGCAGCTTTGCTGAAACTAATTACGCTGATTTATGTTGCCATTGTTCATTGTTGGTCCGTGTTTGGACAGCTCGGAGACATGCGTGCACGCCCATGGACCTTACGCGGACCTCCCGGAGCGCGCTGTTCGCTGCTCTCTCCGCATTTGACGCTCTGACGTCGACATCCCACTTTAGAAGCGGGAAATTTCAACGCGACCGGCGCGCTACGCTGCAAGTTGATTTTTCCGATGAAGGCCTTCGGAACGGACTCCTCGACCGAATCGATCCTATCAACAAATTGTTCATGTTTGGCGGCAGTTACAAGACTCGACCGAGTTCAAATCTCGACTCTAATTCTATAAATCGCTGCTGATGCGATCTTTGTAGACGCTGCTTTAGTCGTACATTCATTAGCAGTAATCTGATACTGTGGCCGCAACCGGCTAAATATTGCAAATGTTCTCCACGATACCCAGTCCAATGCTCTACATTTTTCAACGTTCGAATTAATTTCTATAATTAACTTGTACCATATCGATGTGTTGCAAAAGATTTAACCCGATTTTCTTTGTTACAGGGGAAGGAGGCGAAGAAGGGGCTATAGAAGATGGGGAGAAGTTGGAAGCTGATGAAGATTCGGGGTCTATGACGCCTAACTCAGCTATTTCACCGACTCCTGGGGATGAAGAACCTCATTCACCTACCGCAGGTGATTTAGCATCACCTCGAAGTCCTACATCCATCGGTGAAGAGCCTGTCTACACAAATCATCTAGCGGAAAGGTAAATAAATATTTAAATAAGTAATTCTTAACAGCACGTAATCGAGGTTTATATAATTCAGTACGTATAAACACGATATACCTCTTACATCATGCTGAGACATAAAAGCACTCTCTTATTAAGTAAGATGTTTCCGTTGTTACAGAGAAATGAGTCCTCGGTGCCAATCCAGGGAGTCGTCAGATTCGAACGTACCACCTCGATGCCCATCTGGCGAATCGATCTACTCTGATCGCTTACTTACACGAGGCATTACGTTACCAAATACAGCCATGAGTCCGGTCGGTGTCACATTACCTCCCACATTACCTCCTGCCGCCGCGGCAGCCTTACTACCGCCACATTCAGCGATGGCCGCATATTTAAACGCGGCCGCTGTTGCAGCGCAACACACACAGTTGATGATGGGTTCTCCATTGCCTAGGGGATCAGTATCGCCGTTAATATCATCGTCATCTTCACCCCCAGGTTCAATTAATAGACCTTTATCATCCCCCATCATGTCAATGCCTCTTCAATCACCGTCTACCGAAGCTGCAATATTAGATTTTAGTAAACGCGGATGTAAGTCGGATAATACAGACTCTGATATTGATGCCATGAATTTGGCAAAACCCATGACTCCGCCCCCAACAGAAACTGGAAATGGGCCGTTAGATTTATCGGTATCCGCAAGAAAGCGAAGTGCGGATGAATCCGGCAATCAACCGCCACGTAAAACAAGACCTCCCGATTATAAACCTGTTCTCCCTCAATGGGCAGGAGCAGTACCTCCATCACATTTGCCGTATTTTGCTGCTGTTGCCGCTGCCGCCAGTAGTTTATCACCTAAAACATCTTCTTCTGGCGATTTATGGAATGGCAAAATAAAGCAAGCAACGCCAACACCCAGTGATGCCACAAAGGCATTAGAAAAAATGAGTGAATTAAGTAAATTAGGAGGCGATGATTTATTCAGGTCAATGGCTACGCCTGGAGTATCCGTTAATTCTGCAAGCAGCCGACACAGCGCATGGCAATCGCATTGGTTAAATAAAGGTGCCGACCAAGCTAAGGATGTGCTTAAGTGCGTGTGGTGTAAACAAAGTTTCCCAAGCTTAGCGGCAATGACAACGCATATGAAAGAAGCTAAACACTGTGGTGTAAACGTTCCCGTCCCACCAATGCAACCTCAGTCAATTTCTTCTCATCAACCGACCAATGTGGCCAGTACAAATTCTAACTCCTCCACCTCATCCGCTGGCACCAATAAACCACCAAATCAATCCGATCTAAACTTATTAATCAAGGAAACTATGCCACTACCTAGAAAATTAGTACGAGGGCAAGATGTTTGGTTAGGAAAAGGGGCAGAACAAACGAGACAAATTCTAAAATGCATGTGGTGCGGCCAAAGTTTTAGATCTTTAGCGGAAATGACGAATCATATGCAACAAACGCAACACTACACAAATATAATCTCCCAAGAACAAATAATATCTTGGCGATCAAATGAGGACACAAAGCCATCTAGCGGTGGCAACGGAGGTAGTAGTGGAAATGCTCCAGGAAGCACTAGTAGTCATGTCAGTGCTGTGTTAACGTGCAAAGTATGTGACCAAGCGTTCAGTTCACTGAAAGAGTTAAGTAATCATATGGTAAAAAATTCCCATTATAAAGAACATATTATGAGATCTATAACCGAGAGTGGTGGACGTCGTCGCCAAACTAGAGAAAAACGTAAAAAATCACTACCGGTTAGAAAATTATTGGAATTAGAAAGAGCGCAACATGAATTTAAAAATGGCGATAACGGTACCATAATGGAAAAGAGTAGAGATCCGTCGGTTGCTGGAAGAATTACGTGTGAGAAATGCGGCAATAAAATAGAAACCTCGTTATTCGTTGATCATATTCGGCAATGTGTGGGTGGCTTAGGTCCAAATCAACGAAATTTTTTGAAAAGCGCATTAATGTCTAATAATATTTTACCTCCAGAAGCTAGTCGCGAAAAATCAAAAAGCGACAAATCACCTTCTCCTAACTCTCAAATTCAAAGATCTCCAAGCGCAGCTACTGATTTAAGCGCAAAAGATTCAAGCAGTGAAAATAACAACGGATCTTCTCCGTCTGTATTGAATGCGATAGAGAAGCTGATCGAAAAAAGCTTTGATTCCAGAGGACGCCAAAACACCTCATTTCCTGGATACGGTCACACGCAAGCGCCGATGGGTTCCAGTATTTTAAAAAGACTTGGAATTGATGAAAGTGTAGATTATACAAAACCTTTAGTAGATCCACAAACGATGAATTTATTGAGGAGTTATCACCAACAAAGTCAGCACCATTACAGTCGGCGCGAAAGAAGTGGAAGTGAATCAAGTTCTATATCTGAAAGAGGTAGTAGCCGGGTAGATGCGTTAACGCCCGAGCGTAAAATGGATCCTCCAGGTGCTCCACTTTCATCGACACCGCGATCGACACCTGACAAGCGGGAGAAATCACCGATGTGCGAAAAAATGGATAGTCCAGTAGAGGGAGATGTAAATATAAAAAAAGAGGTCGAAGATGACGATCGACAAAGTTGCGGTGAACCAAATCAAAATGTCAGTATTAAACGTGAAGTTGAAGATGGCGATGAAGACGATCGCAGTAGTTTTCATAGCAATGGGCACGTTAAAGATGTGAGAGATGATGAAGAAGAATCGAGGCGAAATAATAACGTTAGTCCGATGGCAAGTCCGAGTAGAAGACAAACACCTAGTGTTGATACAGGACACAATAGTCCGTGTAGAAACTCCACTTGTAGTCCAGCAAGCAGTGATAGATCTGCAACACCTCGCAGCACAAACGGCGATAGAAAAACTGGAGGTAGTCTTGGTGCGTTGAGTTCAATGTTTGATAGTTTACAAGGAGGAGGAAACGGCGGAGAAAATTCTAGTACTAGTAGTAGAAAAGGAAGCAGTCATCCCTTAGCAGCATTGCAGAAGCTGTGTGACAAGACTGAAACTCACCATACAAATAACAGAACTAATGTCCCGACATCTGCGGCAAGTGTTAATGTATCAAATTCGACGACGCATAACAGTTCTACAACACCGGGTGCAATATTAGCTTTCAGCTGGGCTTGCAATGATGCAGTCATGACGTCCGATTCGATCATGAAATGCGCCTTTTGCGATACGCCGTTTATTTCAAAGGGCGCTTACCGTCATCACTTGTCAAAAATGCATTTCGTTAAAGACGGTGTTATTCCGGACCCGGTAGCTTTGAAAGCGGCCCAATCGTCCGTTCCCAGTACGTCGGCACCTTCGAAGACGAATAGTGGGCCAGCAAATTCATCTAGTGGGCCCGCTTCTGTAGAAAGTAAAAGTCCAAGTCCGGCGGCTGGAAGTTTTGATGAAAGCACTCAGTCGAAGTTTTTGAAGTACACCGAATTGGCGAAACAGTTGTCCAGTAAATACGTGTAACGCTGTGTGAGTTCAAAGTGCAAGAGACCGGGGCGGGGTGGTCGTTCATAATACTTTGTTGCATTCCTAAGTGTATACAATGTGTTTCAAAAACCCGGTATACGATTATTTTGTGAATATTATTTTATTATTTTTAGATTTAGGTTTAGAATTAGTTTCCACACACGTGCAGTGAAAAATTTTTCGTTGTATCTAGTGTTTTGACCGTACTTAATATCTATTTAATAATAAACCCATGCAACTATTTTTGGGACACAGTGTATATAGATGTTGTAAAATGTACAGTAACGTAGGAACAAGATCGTAGTACATACTTTTTCTGGGAAACCTGCTCAAAGGATTCTCGTATTTTGTGATGTTATCATATCTTGCTGAAGCAAAAAACAAAAAGAAGTGGAATAGTAATAACGATATTATTATATAAAAGTAAATAAATACATAGCATATAGTGATATAAATATATGTAAAAATTCATTGCAGATCTACAAATTCTGAGGTGATTATAATTGTTATACGAATTTTAGTCATAATGTACTGTAAATATCTTACATATTTGCATTAAGTCAGTATTTTAAAATGTATACTATTAAAGTTTCATTGCCCTTCCAAACCCTTTACCGTAATCCTATAAATCAACCTCACGACATGAGGAACAAACTAAAATGGTCCTGCAGTTACGTAGAATTTCGGGACAAAATCAGTAGCTACTATTGTTAAAGAACAACTGAAAAATCGAACAAAACAAGTAAACTGTAAGTAACTTTTGAGAGTATGTATGAAAAAAAAAAACGTATTGTAGTGCAGTGATTCCATATAATTATTTCACCTATTTATTATAAGCGAATCTATTTAACATTTAAAATGAAATGAAATACAAAACATTCGTATACGTATGTCTTAATATCTCATTCTTCCAAGAAGATTTTTAAAGTGACTATTTATCAATTAATTATTATTGTATACTTGGATAAAAATGAGTTGATGAAAAATGTATACGCATAGCTAAATAATCGAGGCAAAGCTCTTTTTGTGTTGACGAAAATGATTTTTAATTTAATATTTTGTTGTATTTGAATGCAAAGAAAAGCTCAAATAAATATATGTTATAAATTGTTTTAGTTTTATTTTTAATTTATAACTAGAAACACTTAATTATTTCCTGAATCATAAGCGATGTCTAATGGTAAGTACAGTAAAACCTCTATATAACGGATTGTTGTATATTTTTAATGAACGAAAAATAGAACTAACACTAGATCTAGAACTAGAAAGTTTCGGGTTTAGCTGTACGTCTCATAAAACGGCTAAACCGGAATGTATCTAGTTCTAGGTGCAGTATTAGTTCTAATACTAGTGTTAGTTCTAGGTTTAGTTGTGGTTCAGCATTAGATTGTTGTATATTTTTCATTGAACTATAACTAGAACAAACACTAGACCTAGAACTAGAATGTTTCGGGTAGTAGACCCGAATATTATTAAAACATTATTATGTTTTTATTATTTAGCGTTAGATTCTTGTATAATTTTATTGAACTAGAAGTAGAACTAACACTAGACATGAACTAGACACGTTCAGGTTTAGCCGTACGTCTCTTAAGACGGCTAAACCCGAATGTTTCTCTTTTGTTAGTTCTAATGCTACAGTTGGTTCTAGTTTTAGTTGTTATTCAGCGTTAGATTGTTGTATATTTTTCATTGAACTGAAACTAGAACTAACACTAGACCTAGAACTAGAAGCATTTGAGTTAAGCCGAGCGTCTTTTAAGACGGCTAAGCTCGAATGTTTCTATTTCTAGGTCTAGTATTAATTCTAATGCTAGTGTTAGTTCTAGTTTTAGTTGTTGTTCAGTGTTAAATTGTTGTATATTTTTATTGAACTAAAAGTAGAAGTAGCTAATACAGAGTTCTGTATAACTGATTGAATTTGTAAGATTTTACTGTATTACAATTAGTTGATTATGGTACAATATAAACGTCTATTTCAGCATAACCACCTTCATTAAATTCCGTGGAAGCTCATCAGTTATCTCACACCCTTTTAGACGAAAGGTACGCCCCTTCAAATTTATTATACCCATCACGTCAAAATTTATAGTGTTTGATACACGAAATATCGCGACCGTTTTTCTGCCCCCTCTGGCTTTTGCGTCTAAAATTGTGTCGGCGAGTGGTGAAGCCGACCCTGGAACGGAAAGTCGGTCCCATATCCATAAATTAACAGTGGAGGGCCGCCATGTGATGTAAGCCGAAAAGGTACTAAATCTGCTCTTATTATCTAAATGGGCCTGTGGAGTATTTGCAGACGCTCCTCAAACAGTAAGCGAGCGTCCCCGGTATCTCAAATTAGATCGCCCATTTTAATAATCGCTGATTAGTTTTGTTTGATCGCCTCCGCGGCTTTATATTTGATCTTTCACAATCAAAACGCAACGCTTTCTTTTCCTTCTCGTTGACACATTTGTATTGTGTGTTAGGACAACTTCAAATATTTACTCTTCACATACACACTAATTATAAATTTGATGCGTAATAAGGTCATGATAACAATCTTTTAATTCCTTTGAAGCATGAGTTACACATATATTTAACTATGCAGTTATAATAAAACAAACAAAAGTAACTTTATTTAAATCCGACTGTTTATAGTTTGCCGCTTTTAACCGTTTTTCTTTCTAATCCACTTGACGAAAGCCGAATAATAATATTCATAGCCGCGAAGTTTACATTGTTTATTTGAGATCATACTAAGGTATCGTAATGGCAAACAGTTAGACGATGATGAGGAAATTCCCACGTGACTCGCAAATATTTGACGGAAATTGCTCGCGCAACGATTGAGATACAACAATAGGAATAATTGCCGTCTTGTTTCAATATTAAGGAGGCTGTTTGATGTTCAAAGACGGTTGTTCTCTTTGAAGTTGAGAACGTAAACGGGTACACTTCAACTGGAAAACTATAGTAACATGTAATTGTACGATCTGAAATTCGGTTACATTACGTGGTAGATATAACAGATAGTTTTTGAAGCAGGTGCTTTTCTATACACTATTTGTAATTGCTGGTGGGACTATTTTTAGAAACAGGAACCTTAAGCGATAAAGAGGTTACTCCGGTTATTTACCAACGCCCGCACCTGTCTTTTGTAGAAAATTTATACCACTTTAGGAAACGTCGCATTTACAACATTTTTATCAATGATTATTTCCAGGAAGTCTCAGATTACATTAATATGTGTGACTTCTATTTTACCTGTTTTTCCTTTCTTGTTGGGTGCTACGTTTAAGCAATTTGGCAGATGGATTATGTATTGTGTTGAACGTAATTTGTAGACTGTCTTATTTTTTATGTTTTTTTATAGAGGTGAATTATTCCTTATGGATGTTAAGATACAAATGATATTTTCTTTGTGATGTTTTTATTAACATGCTTCGTACATCACTCTGAAATGAATAGTAGAGACATTACGTCACGGTAGATCCAAGGTCTTTATTGGTGAGTCCGGTAGTAGAACCCGAGGGGTGTTTTCTAAATGTTTGTCGTTAATTCATCATAATGATTCATATGCGTTCGAGACTGGGACTCGTTTTTACACCCCGAATGTTAAGGGTGTAAATTATAAGTTTAAGACAGAAAGTCAATATCGCCGGCTCTCAGATACGATCCGGCCGCTACCGAGCTTTATTTCTCGAATTTCACGTTTCAGGGGCGGGCTGAATATTTATTCTGCCGCCAGTTGTTATTTGTTGTTTTCGAGGATGGGGTTTTGTTTGATAGCGAGGCGAAAGTATTTTACGAACGCCACGCGCACGTTCGTATCAAAATTTACGAACTAATTTGATTTGTGATTCCTCATTTCCTTTGTTTTAATTTACAGATTCGCGAAGGGGGTTCGAATTTCCACATGACAGTCATTATTGATGTAATAACCATAACAATATTTTTATTTGGATATTATTTATGTTTTATTATTATTTAACTTCGATATAATTCGGGTTGGGTTCGGTTGCTCTATTCCGTGTTCATAAATAAATTCGGGGTATTCCCCGAATTGTCTATACGATATATAAATCAGGGCGGTAGTTTTAGTTTTAATTGTTATTCAGTCCTAGATTGTTGTACATTCTTCAGACGCACGGCTAAACCCGAAACTTTCTAGTTCTAAGTCTAGTGTTAGTTCCAATTTTAGTTGTTATTCAGCGTTAGATTGTTGTATATTTTTATTGGAAGAAAAGATATGATTTGAAGTATTATGTTGAAGAATAAATGAAAAGTTTAATTAATTAATTTTAAGTTATTATTTTTTTTGTTTAAAATGTAAATAAATATTAACAATTTAAATTTTAATAACGATTTTATTTCTTTTTACTTGTAAATGTTTGTTTACAATAAAATTTCAGACAATAATAAATAAAGCGAAATTGTTGTGTTTTTGTTTAATATTCATATGAAACATAAAAAAATACGTACAGTTTAATATTCATTGTGAGTTGAGTAGAAATTGAAAAATCGATTCGTGGAGATTGCTGATTGTGCGTGCAGCGGGCCGACAAAACGACAAGAAGGGTAGCAACGCGGCTTGACGATGCGGAGGGGTGACGGGGCTGAAAAAAACGGGGCAATATATTTTAACAAGGTGACAAGAATTATGGCACATTCCCCCGTCTTTCAGAAAGCTCGTTCACCAGTTCTCTCCACCCGGAGTTAGCCTATGACTTAAGTCTTGAATGTGCGTCAGTCCCCGACTGACAGCGGGCTACAAAGATTCGAAGGATTTATGCCACTGGATCCTTTTGTGTTTTACCTAACGCATTATGCATTAACGGCTATAAATCAATTTTACGGTTTTGTAAATCAAACTCGTTTTAATGGGCTCACGCATACGGCTGCAATATTCTCGTATATGTGGATGCGCAAATGTATTATGCATGACGTAAGTGTGATGGGACTGATGTTCTCTGATCGATTTATGTGAATCTTCGGCGAGTTTAGGTGTCATGAGAACTTTTTGGGTTTTTGGTATAAATATTATAAGTAACCTTAGAAACTCAATATTTAATAAATAAAATCGATTGTTATTAAGTAAAGTAATTTGTGTTACTTTAGGTAACATGTAAAATTGATGTGATACATGATGGTCAATTTGTTAGGGGCGTATCATGCTCACGTATCCATATGTCGTTGTCGGCGTTATAGGAGGTTAAAGTTCTGAAATAAAGACGCCCAACGAGATATGTCTCCCTCGTTTTCCATCGCGTTCAACTGAGAAAGAAACACCTCGTGCTGGACGGACCCTTCACGACCGCGATTACATATTACGCGTAATATTTCAATTTGTAAAGACACCGGTGCGAGTTTCTGGGTTCCCCGCTTATTTGTCACAATGGCGGCTGTTCGTCGTTCCTCCGCCTTCGGCTGGACGAGATCGCGGGACGCATTATCATAAACATCAAATAAATTGGATCGTATAAATTAGTTGTCCGTTATAATGATCGGAGATTTACAGCCACTCTTACTAAAAACATATCACATTTATCTGTCTTATGTAGCAGATGGCGGGTTATGTATTGCCGGGCATTGTGATGGTAAAGATGAGATCTCTTACACTCCGGTCGCGTCGCGGTGGCAGAGCGACATTCCGTGGGACACGCTGTGATGTCCCATTCATAAGCGTCTGAGATACTGCCTTCACTTTGACAGTTCCTGCTGTACGTACTACCAATGTTGTTGGAGGAATACGTGCTGAGGACCATAGGTCAACGATGTTTACCCTGTATGTGAGATAAATAGTTACTAACAGTTCATATGTCGGTAAATTAAAGGGTGTACGTGTGCAAAGTAGAAAACAAATAGTTCCCGTTGATAACATTAAAAGAAAATCCTTCCCTTTCTATAACTTGTTTCTATCTCTCCGTTTCCGAACCCTGCAACTAATGGTGCCTTTGTTTGAGAGTGCTAAGTTTTAACTGCTCAGCCAGACAGGCGTGTGTAACGAATATCCCGAAACTCCGGAGTAACACATGCCGGGTATCTTTTAGAACTGGCTGACAGAGACATCAACAGCTTCGCATCTGTCGCCATTGCGGTTCATTCGAACTATCCCGTCCAATTTTAT